AATATCTAATAAAGCAGCGGTACTTGTAACCAAGGCTTTTAGTCTTTATAATGTGTGGTATTGCAGAAAATGAATAATAAACTATAATTGTATAAAACAAAGTTATTGCTCTGCCGGGTACTTGTAATATATATAAATTACCTGATATATATGTATATATGTATCTTTCTATTTTTATTTCTTAAGACAAATCATTCTATATTGTATTCAACATAGACGAGTGATAGCCATTTTGCGTGAGTGTCACTGAAACCAATCTTGGTACTTGATGTCTTTATAAGAATTGAGGTTAAGGTAACCCAATTATTCGAGTCGGTTTACTCACTTAAAATAATGAAACTGTAAATTGATGGTATACTGTCAAAGCAATATAAATTTAACATTCAATGTGACCAAAAATTTCAAAATATTTAAAATAAATTACACTTATGGATTGTCAATTGAAGCCCTGTGAGTTCTATTTTTTAGTGGTGTTAAGTGCTAATCAAACTCAAATTGTGTAATTTAGTCATATAAATCCAAAGGGGTCGAAACAATATCCTGTTCCGTTCACAGAATCGATTCTATACATCTGTAACGGTAACTTGCAAATGAATGTATTACATTGAATGTATTACCTGGTCATTGAATCTGAATAGTATATCAATATATAGCACCCAAAGGACACGAGAACGTGTTACAAAAATGATACTACAACCAACGTGATGGACTTACTACATTCAGTTGACATAGACAAATCAACGATAGCCGATTGACGGACGAAAACATCAATTACTGCATGTAGCGAGCGATAGTGATGACGCCGATCGTAAGTTACACTCACTTTATCTTACTCACCACAGCGCGGTAAGTGTAACTACATTTGTTTGAAGTGACGCCGCAATTTCCATGAAAACATCTGCTTTATTTGTATGTTCGTCTCTCGGGTGCTCAAACATGTATATTGAAGTGGATTTCATTTTTGTGTTTATAATTAGGAAGCAGGATGCAGAGCAAAAACAATGTGTTCCAATGGTGAATGTTTAGTACGAACAGTAGCGTGGTAAGAATACACATTTGGAAGAATCGACAACATTTTGATTTATTTAAAATAATATGCTGACAAATGTGCCAGTGGTTACCTCATGCTACCAGAGGGAAACAACTACAACAAAAATACACAAAGCACTGCGCATCATTGTGTATACAAATTCACTGCCAGAATCGAACTTTCAACCAAATCAACTCGCTTTGCTCGTGGATTAAGTGCCCGTTAGCTACTGGGCAATGAGAGACAACACTATGGTATAACAAGGACACTGAGTCCCTGACACACAACGCTCTTATACAGTCGAAAGCAATAATTCAATGTTTGTGATAATGTCACTAGTCCCGTGGATGTGTGACGCTTGTTTTCACATAATATCATTGCGCAGTAGGAGTAACGTCAATATGTATAAACTACGTCTGAATACATATGTAACTTAAATGGTTATATCTTCTTCCGATTGGGGACTTTTAATCTCGTCTTTTATGTTGTGATTCCCGGTGATTGCTATATATTTGGGAAAGGGCTACGAGTGCATTGTTATCAGTACATGTAGCCTTTTTAAGAATCAAGCAGGAATACGCCTCCATCAAATGTAATAGTATAGACAAAATTAACTTTGACAGATTAGAAGCAGTTTAGAGAAGCAGTTTATGTTATGTAATTATGCTGATTTATGCGGTAAATTTAATCTACCTTCTTTATTTCGTTTCAAAACTTGTTATGCGCATTTTGACTGTCAATCAAATATTAACTTTTATATAACTGGACGTAATTAAATTAAAGGTGGCGTGCCATGTATTTCCGTGCAAAGAATGTAAGCAATGTCCCATGTGTTAGTATATGAAGCAATTGACAGTTGTAGAAATAATTCTTGGGGAAATTTTGAAGAATGTTTCCTTTAGGAGGTGAGAGTCCATTCCACGCCAATTGAAAACATTGCGATTTTAGGTGAAATTTTAATTTATTGAAATCTTCATATCATGAGAACTGTGTATTATATCTGGCTAAACTTAAAAAAACATACTGTCCTATCACAAATTAAAAGTTAATAGGAAAACTAGACAGTTGGTGTTTACCGTCTTTTTTCGCAATGATCTTTGTATGTACAGACTTTGTCCGAGCGTAATGCTGGTGTGTTCACTTTCATGTAATATTACGTAGCTACAGTCAGACGTTTATAGCTAAACAATATGGCTTATAATTACTGCTTTGTAGCAGTTGTGTAATTTATATTGATAGGTCATTATGAAATTTCAAACATGATTAACTACAAACCACGGCATATGAACTTGTTTTAATATAATTCCGTATATAATGCACTCATTCATTTGTTCGGAGTCCGCTTTCAAAAAAATACTGTACTAACCAGAGAAAGGGACAATACAAGATAAATTATCCCAAACAATGACAGCGATAATATGCAAGGTGTGACTATATTTCTATCTAATCCATGTAATCTAGCATCATGTTGACGACATGTAATGAACAGTGATGATGACGTTAAATGATAACACCGAGAGTGTCTGTAGAAACTTAATCTTAACATAGACAAACATTTCTTAACCGTATTTTTTTTTATTTTCAGACATTGCAGCTGTGTTCACTGGTGCTAAAAAATTACTTGTTGCATACATAGTGTCAATAAATTTATACTGTGATATATGCAGGATGCTGTCATATTAAATTTTCATTAATACATATATATTTATAAAGCGCGTTCGTAATGTTCAGTGTTAGTTCGGGTGTATTGCTAATCTGATTTGTAGGGTCAAGTAATAAATAACTGTCATCTGGTGACAGAGGTAAACGTTACATTCGCTTGCCTTGTATTTGTATGTTCACGTATCGTTCTTTCTTCGGTGAGCAACACTTTAGCATACCTTATTAGGGGACCCTTGTGTACACTGATTACAAAAGTGCATGTAAATTAGTCACGTGGTGTGATTGTGTGACGCTACGGTGGTTTCAATGTGAATATCCAAATCGGATTACGACTATTAACACACTATTGGCTTATGTTTGTGTCGACGATAACGTGATGATATACAGACAGGAACTAGTAAATTGTCGTGTGTGTACGTAAACTGACCCATGGATCGCTCGTCTATTATACATGCATACCCAGACGTTGTTCTATGAGCCTGTGTACGAGACTGTGTTGCCCGAACATATCAGGGACGGGGGTCGTCAACGCCGTTCGTTCTGGGATACAGTGACACTTGTTTCCAGTGCCTTATTTCTCTCTGTTCAATGATATCGGTAAGTTGTGATGTGTCAAACGTTCTATGCAATTATTTAATGTATTATAGTATGAATTAGTACACGCATTACGTGAGTGGGCTGGTGTGAAATAAACATCGGATGTAAACATGGTTGTGTTGGTTTCTAGCTTGTACATTTCAACGATATTTATCGATAATCAAATAGCGGCCCATCCCAGATCATATAGTAAGTCAGCAAGGCTGTAATAAGCACGTTTCGACGCGCCAGTAAACTGATGGCTGGTAGTTAAACATGCAGCATGACCCTCCGCCATCGTACGATGATTAAAAACCCCAATGCGCCTGTCAAATGTACAATCATATTAAAAGCCCGTACGTGTGTAGTGTTATAAGTTATTGTTTGTATACAGTCATACATTAACGTACTAGTATACCGTGACTGTTTATGCCAAATGCATACAACGGTTAGTACGTACGTCACATTAAATTACACCATATCCTGAATGTGTCCTCTTCCCGTATTTAAGTTACATACTACGTCAAAATCACTTGTACATTCAGTTATGCAATTCTCAGTATATCGGCGCTTGCGGTCTTAATTATCGTGACGGATTGTTCACGGCGTCAGTGAACGAGTCAGGTAACTCTCTATACTCTAATCCTCCCCCATGAACTGATTATATTCCATGTTATCGCTCATTATATAAATAACGCGTATAGTGTGTACAGTATTGAGGACAGCCCTTATAGTGTATCGAATTGCTGTAGGAAAATGTCCTTGCCCGCTGAATAAATAAATATACGTTGTAAATAATATAAACTCAGTTGGCGAGGCTATAATTTTAATATCATTTCCAAACGACACTCTGCTTGTAGAATAGAATTCGTCGTGTCAGCACAATTAGGTCAATGCCGGGTTTGATTGGAGTATCGCGTACAGTAGAGCATGCGCATAACGTGCTAATTAACTATATAGCCCTTACTATCAGTAATTACACTGTAATTCTTATTGTGATTTAGCCAGAAATAATGTAAACCTTTAACATCATTTTGCAAATTTTTTTTTGGGGGGGGGGGTGTCTGGGATGATTGGAGAAGGCAATCAGTTACCATGTTCGGTACCTTTATCACGTTGTAATGCTGTGTAAGGCCAACCGGAAGCACGCAAATTCACGTAAATCTCTGCAAATAACTGCGGCATCCGGCAGTTCACAACTCCATTGTGTATTCTAAGCATGCACTTGTCTAACCTAATATACTTCATACTACATAATATACATAGTGCATGATAAAACATATTCGATATACACACGTAGACATGCTGCGGATTCCCTCGTCTATGATAACGTACGCTTTGCAGGGCAATCTCATTTGATAAGCTGGCAATGTGTGATATAACTGTACAGTGCAATTTGTTTTCATTCAAGTGAAGCGATCAAGAGGCAATCGACCCGGAAACACAAGTAGTCTCAATTAGGATATATTGGTGTGAATTGTCTCGACTTGATAGAGGTGGATCTCGCATATCGTGATATTCATTGCCATAAATGTATTCTCCATCACACTAACTATTGACATAGCTTTCTTGTTCCTGGTTATTGACACGGAACGCATATAGTAAGGTTATATTGTGTATCAAACGTTCATTAATTTCACAACGTTAACACGGTTGCTCATGCATATTCTCGTTCATTTCATCTTGTGACAGTGTCATCAATTTCAGGTGATCCGTATCTGCGATAGTTGCCATGGTGACGGATTCTTGCCATATCATCGTTCTCCTGACACATTGTCTGTTCGCACGAGCTGTGATAAGTAAGTTTTTATAATTTTTTTTTTATTATTTCCATCATTTTATATGAACACCTAACATATGATTAATTATATATTATGAGAACTGTGGGAAATAATTAGCCTTTATGAGCTGCAATTACCGCTTACATTGATTCAATAATTATACCTTTAAGGTCGTATATTCTAAAAACACATCCGTCCAAATGATTTTCCTGTACCTGCCTTTGAATACAATATATCTAATTTTAAAATCATGCAGTGCCACGTGACTTTTGTCAAATGAGATATGTTTCGCGGCACTGATGTTCATGAGTGAAACACTAAAAGTGGATTTTTATTGCCTTACTATGAATAGGTTCCAACAGCACAAGCGGTATCCCGATATTTGACTGTGCGGTTGATGGCGGTTGTCTAAATGGAGGAACTTGTGTGTACCTTGTGTGTCTGTGTCAGAATAATTTCCGGGGAGATCGTTGTGAATTCAGTGAGTAATTTTTCACGTTATTTCTTTTCATCGTGGTACCCGTAGAGAATTTGCTTTTTGAGTGACACGTCGTATATGTTGAACCGATACATTCACACTGTCTAATAAGCTTGGTATGAATGATTCATAGTTCGCAGTTAAATTGTGAAAGTTTTCAACGCCGCGTGGTAGTAACACGATACAGGAACTGAAAATATGTACACTTTTATCATCTGAATGTGTGTACTGTATAATAACTTGAACGGAATGAATATTGTTTTTATATAAATGTAATCATAAACTTTCGTAAATAAATTACTGCATACAATAACATGTCAGGCACGTGGACTCCAGAAACAAAATGAAACTTCTAGTAGGTTTGTAGGTTCTTACATTATCGACCAGACCATTCTTTCATATGCCCATTCTGTCGCGGATGTGTACTTATCTTAAAACTGACATCACTCATTTGATTTGTTTAATCCGATTGAATTTGAAGCAAAATAATGCCATTATCTTACATACTAGTGAAATGTCAGTTAATGTCTGTAGGCATCAGTGACAAAATAAGTAATGTTGTTAAAAATGACAAATTGATTGATTTATATATCAAATATCGTTCCAGTTGAGAGAGACTTCAGATTAAATAGGTATGGTTAACAACAATAGAAGCATCATGATATAGTCAAATAATTATCAGGATACTATCAGTTAATTTCCTTTTGGTTACGTAAAATATTATATTTTGGTTCTAATCGATGAAAGATCACTGATTTATTTGTATGGGTAACATTTTGTTAATTTAAAAAACTTATATAATTAAAGAAGAGTGTTCTTGGTGAGTGGTTAGGTTTCGTTATAAAACAGAAGGGGTGGGCAGACAAATCAGAAATTTGAACCACAAATTTACCCCTTCTCTCAAATTTATGCTTTTAAAATGTGCCCCCTCCAATACACACACTCATTTAGGATGTACAAAGAAATATTAGTAACGAGATATTTTTAAAACGCCACAGCCGTGTTGGTAAGCAAACATACATGTATTTTACACGCGTTGTATACGTTGCTATAGGTCCCATATCGAACACGATGACCTATGACCTTTTCAAGCTAACAAACCATAATAGCAACTAATATACACTGTTCGTGTTCTCAAAGTTGTATACAGGTGACTAGATCATGTGACTTGAAATAGGTCTTGTCATTTGACAGTGTCACTTGAGTCACATTCTGAATCGCTACTGTCAATTTCTTTGTGCCCCATAACATCAGCAAATGTCATTCATCATTTGTGTCACTTTGGCGATATTTTATACTCGCTACTGTAGCTCTACTAATATATGCTTCTACAATGTTCTGTTTTAATATCATTTTCTTACTATCAATCAATATGTGATGCAAAAAATAAGTTGTGAAGTATTAAACACTGCAGTGTAAAGTGGTCGTCGCAGATTATCAACAATGTACTCTGGGATATCACCAGCCACGGTGGTTATTTTGCAAACAGTGCAATCTTTGACAAAATCTGAGAAAAAGGTGTTCGTGTATCAACAACTGTTACATTTGATTGATACATTTTCTCACAGACTAATTTTAGACCTTTTAAAAAGTGAAATCATAAGGTACATTGACACAGACATCACAATCATTAACAATGTATCGCTTCAATCTGATATACTTTGTTTTACTTATTTTTTCATTTGTCCCAGTTCACATTTGTTAATTGAAAATTGGATTCTTATGGGATTCGGGCAAACAGCAGGTGTATGCACTGGATAAAATAATCAGTAATTGCGTTTGGAATATTAATAGACAAATTAGGTTACATCAAAAGCGCATTATCTATGGAACGAACTCAAGGTCCCGCCAGGTCATAAACAATTAATCAATAAAGATGTATTATATATTTCG